TGTAAAGTTTCTATCTGCTGTTTGATTATTCCTTTGGTAAAAGTGTGATCTATATTCTTGGTTTATGTCAATTAAACTTACGCCTCTAAAAATTTTATGTAAATATACGCTCGTTTGTGTGCAATCTGTGTGATTTTATTGTGTCAGGTTCAAACCGTTCTCGCACCCTGAAGATCCTGCCTCCCTAGATTTAAAGCCTCGCTTCACGAGCAAAATCTGACAACCTGCTTACGTTCATGACGTGCTACTGTGAAGGTGGTAAGGTGTGTGTGAGGTAGTGGGTATGTTAGAATATAATATATATATATATATATATATATATTATAATATATATATATATATATATAGCGTATAATACTATATAGTACGTTGAGTTCTCACATTTCACAGGTCTCTATAACCGTTCGAATTGGTCAGATGGCTGAGAACGCGCGCCTGCTAAACAGTGTTTAGTAGTGTGGCGACATGAAACGTAGATCTCACTGAATGATTTTATATACGAAACAAGTATAGTACCTCTGGCACTTCTCTTTGTTTTTTTTTTCGCTTTCGATTTTCAGTTGTCTAATTTACTATACGAAACTCAATCTTGTTTAGTGAATCTTACTACAGGAATAACTGAATTTACTACATGATCGCTTAGTAAACATTCTTATTTCATTCTACTACACTTCTCTCAGTGTACCAAATTGATATTCCCCAATCCATCTGGCTGATGACACGATCCCTTGAATTTAAAACTGATATTTCAATTTTGGGGGTACTTTACATGAAGACTTGAGACGTTTTTAGAATTTTAGAAAATGGTTCCATTTTTTAAAACTCAATTTTGTAGGCGGATAGCGTACATAAAAGAATGGTGGCAGGTTTCATTTTAGTTTAAATCGCTAATATTTCTAGAATTGCAAAGTGTAAATTTTTCGGCATCTTCCTACAACTAAAATACTTAAGATAGAGATTTTTCTGTATGACATCTGTACTCGAAAGACATAATTTAAAACCAGGTCATGTACAATTTTTCGAAAATTTGAGTACTTTTCACGTAATTTCGAAGGTCTAATAGTATAATTTTTGATTATATATAACAAATCAACAATTTGGTTGATTAAATTTTGTCCTTAGCGTAAAGAACTCTTGGTGTGTCTTCCTACAACTACATTTAATTAAGGGTGTTCATCAAGAACAGATCTTAAAATAAGGTCGTGTTTAATTTTTCGAAAATATGAGTATTTGTTGCGTAATTTTGCGTGAAACATTGGCAATTTTTAAATTGTAAAAATTATTTTGTTAGAAAGGGTTTCAATTTTTAATTATTTTTGCACGTATGTAGCTTAGAACGGTAAAGACATTTGTGCTGGTCTCATTTTCGGGGGCACTCTCTATATTTTCGAAAATTACCAAAAATTGAAAATAGTAAATTCCAGTTTCTCGCGCTTCGTTTGGCCGGTGACAGTCTTCAAAGTGACTTGAGAAGTGCTTGGAAGGAGTCATTCGAATAAGCATTGTATCTACATATTTTTCGTTAGCATTTTTATTAATTCTCAGCAGTTACTATAATTATTACATTACATACGATCAGTTAAATGATTATTTATACGGGAAACTTGGTGAAAGCAATTTCTATTATTTCCAGGGCAATCTCATAGTAAAATCTTACCGAATACAATTTTTGGTATACTTGTTTTCTTGAAGAATCTGAGAAATAATAGTGAAGTATTGTTTATTATAATAAATAACCTCCGACTGGGGAGCATCGCTAGAGGAGAAAAGTCGCATTAATCCGATCCTAAAATTGCAAAATACATACACAGTTCATCATTCAATCTGATATGATAAGTTCAGTTGAGTAGCCTTGATGTCAACGAAGTCATAATTTTTGTACACTTATACCTTATAAATAATTTTGGGTCAAAATATGGAAAGAAACTTACGCGTATCCAGCAAGAACATTCATGAGTGACGACTTCCCACACCCTGAGGGCCCCATGATTGCAGTCAGTTCTCCTGGAGACAGATGGCCACTGATGTCTTGTAAAATAGTTCTTGATCCTGTTAGTGTTAACAAAAAGGAAGCTTTATAACACACGTGTGAGTATCATAATCGTATTGAAAATACATATCTGACAAATAAATATACTATTTAATTGATCCTATGAGTGGCTTCAAAACACGCTGAGAATGAAAATATTATTTTTATCTTTCACAATCTCCTTTATTATTATTATTTTTTAAATAAGTGAAATCGCTGTCTAACGTTCTTATACGATTTCAAAGCATCATGCAGGAGAGACATAATTGAAGAAAATTCGAAGTTCAAACTTTGATCATGACCAAGTATCATAGGTGAAAAATACTTTTGAATAAAATACATTTTCAATTTTTTTGAATTGTCACCTGAATGTCTTCTTTGGATTTAAAATTCAAAATTTAAAAATTCAACTTTAATAAATAAACATATATTCAATCAACAATTTTCTGTAATTATTAGAGATTCAATATTTTCTAGCAAAAGCCATTTCCATGGCATCCCGCTTCAACCTCTAGTTTTATCAATTCCCACAATACAAATTTAGAGAGTGTCAGAAAGTAGTACGTTCCCCATGGGTGATGAAGGCATGTATTTGCAATTTGTTATAAAATGAGAAGAAATGATGCAAATTTCGAATGAGCATTATTTCAAAGATGTCGCTTAGCGTCCGTCATACTCGTGCCACTGATACGTGCCACTGTTCGTTACTTTACAACATATTGCCAGATGACAATAAACTAGCTATTGAAATGGATACGCAAGTTTAAATTCAAAGTAACCTATTTTTTGCAGCATAACAATTTCTATACAATATAGTTTTTATACAAGCATCAAACAGGAAAGTAATATTAATCTTAACGAAGATATATAAAATTAGTTCGCGGGATTGGTCAACATGGATAAGGAAACAGTTATCCAACGTTCCGACATATTTAATTTCTTCATCAGAGCCAAAGTACAAAGACAAATCAACAATGCATGAGAACAACAAACTGAAAATTAAAAATTAACACTTCACAAACATAAACATTGATAAAAAACAAAATATAGAAAGTACACACCTTACTAATAGATATTAAAGTCCAGCCTCATTTCAAGCCACCAAACCCAACTTCACATGGAGTTGCTAAAGCATGTGGGTCCATCCCGTGACAAATCTGAATCAGGCCACGGCCCGAAACGCAAATGAATGAGAATTGGTTGAAATTATGAACCGCGCGCTACAGCTACTCTTTGCCACGTCGCCATTTTTTCAAAGATTCGACTCGAGCCAGAAGGACAGGGATTTCTTCAATTTGGAAAAAATCTTACGCATGGTTTAGGCGCTAGTAATGTTCACAGACAGCAGACGGGCGGATGGACGGACGGACGGACAGGTGGACAGATGGACGTTTTGAAAGAAACACTTGTTGGTATCAGGGGACCCTAAAACGTGTATTTTCGTCTAAATCTCGAAATCGATTTTGCGCAGCGTTACATAACTTTTCATTCACTACGTGTATTACTTCGTATATACGTATGTACACGGGAAAGTAAAAGGCATTAACAAAGAAATGTTTGCGATATGTTTTGAATTTTTCAGGTGAAAGCTGAAGCGAACTGTTATTCATAAAGATTTCACTTGTTACGTGAGACTAAAAGTGTGCGGCTCGAGTCTTCACTACTGTAGACTTCATTTTCGGAAGCAGAATTTTCATGGCCTTTGTTTTCATAATGAAGTAAACAATCAAAGTACGTCCGATGCAATTTAATGAATGATATGTATGTTTCGAATTGTCTTTTAGATTCAAGGGTTTCCAAGTAATGTCCTCGTTATAAAATTTCTTAAAATGTGTCAAGTTACTAATACGCATTTCTTTAAATTAAATTGTTCATATGACTATGTTATTAGATTGTGTGCTATCAGTCACATAATTGTTGCCCTGAACGTTTCTGGCTAGTGAAGTTCGTTGCGGACACCAAAGGACGTTATATAAATGCTAGTATCTCCATAGTGTTTTATTTTAAGTCCCCCAAATTTTATTTTGATTTATTGAATTTAGCAAGCTGCATGTGGTAATTTAAAATAGATCAAGTTAAATTACAGCTATTCATGAATTAAAAAATATACTCTGACAATAGACTTAGAAAATAAATCAACACAAAAATCAGTCACATATAGTGACAGGAGCAATGCTAAATTATCTTAGCATACACAATCACAAATCTATTTTGTAACGCAGATTGGAACAAAGATTGCCACGGTCATTATCTGCTATAAATCTGGCTTCTAAGTCGTCAAGGTTAAGACGGTTCAACAAATCTTGATGTATCATGCAGATAACTTTCTGATATTATATTATTCAATTTCTTTCTGTCACGCTGTTTCTTAAAAGGTTAAGTAAGTTTTCAGTCTTCGAAGACACGACTCCGAAAAATCGAAGCAAAAGCGTAGCAATTTTTAACACAAACCGAACTTTTAGCAACATTATTCCAGTGGCCCGTGTTGGGGGTTCAGTGGTTTAGTGAACCCGCATAAAAATCCCATGAGATCAGAATTTTTTTTTTATTTCAGCTGAATGAAGAGTTAATAAGTTTTTGTTGTCGTTACTGGGGCTCGTCAGCTAAGAATTCCATCAAATATTGAGTTGACAGCGCGGAGGTCTTCTGTGCCGCGTCAGCGCTGCGTCATGCCTCCGCGAAGCGTGGTAGGCGGTTCAGGAAGCGGGAGAGAACCCCCGAGCGGCGTGAGATGAGGGCGAGAAGAGGCGGCAGGCAAGACGAGAAGATGCGGCGAATATCCGGCTCGTGCGCTGGTCTCCTCGCCAGCACGCAATCCGAAGACCCCCGAAAGGCGCCGAAATTCTACGACCCCCGCGAAGGCTTCTTTGTCAAGAAACATCACGAAAGACAGAGACTCAGGAAAATCCTAAGGTTTCTTCGCCGAACAAAACTTGAGGCAGCCAAGTACCATATCTTCTTCGAAAATGATATGAAATAGATTTGAATCATTACAGGAATTTGAGTTTAATGTATTGAACAAATATCTTCTTTATTTTGAATGTTTCCAATTCTTTATTTCATAGATATATTCAAAGAATTGCTATTCTGTTAGCAGTGACAAATGTTTAGAAATGTCTTCTGCTGATCGGTAGGCAGTGTCGGTCAGTGATGGCTTGGCCTGTCCGACTGAATATGAATTCCTGCCATACTGAGATGTGAGTGCCCATTCCATTGCAAATGTAAATATTAGCATAACGCATAGACGAAGCATCAACGTATGAGATACACTGAAGAATTCACAATGTTTAAAATAAACGTAATCAAAATAAGGGTTTCCATTGGCTGCGATTCATTCTAGTTTACTATTGGTGGGATGTGAGAATCGATTTCGAGGTATCGACTATGTCTATGGGCCTTATGGCGTTAGTTGGTCTATCGACTTCGATCCTATTTCGATTCTCGATTTTGAGTTAACTTACTGTGATTTGTTCATTTCTTATGTCTTACTTAATCATAAGCCCAGAAGCTTGCAAGCTTTTAAGTTAATGTCTTACGTGTTATGCTTATGCGAAAACGTTGTGAATGAGTCCACTTATGGACGTAGTCCTAACTTTTATGTTTACGCCAGGCTTTTATGTTTGCATTGTAAATGAGATTTTACTTACAATTGGCAGATCACACTGGCACATACTAAATCATAGGTTGCTAATTCATGTAGGTAAGAGTGCGAATTGGAGTCTCTTTTGGGAGGCCAAACGAAAATACATTCTGTTCTTTAAATTTTTAACAATATCGTTATATCAAAAATTAATTATTATTATATACACCAATTAATAATTATTGCCATTTTTCCTTTGACAATCTAACTATAGAATGTTTATTACCTAAAAAAGAAATCTTAATAATTCGGTTTGGTATTATGTCAATTGTTAATAATTTTAGTTATAATTTGAGTTCTAACGTTTTGTAAAATAATTACCCATTCAAAGTTCTTAAATCATCAAACCTGAAAATGTAGGGCTAGGGGTAGAGTTTCACGGTGCACACTTTAAGAAACCCACACGTTTGCATTTCAGCATTACTTTTATTTTATATGCTGGTTGATTCTTCCTCTCATTTACTCTTTATAATTTTAATAACAAACTTATCCATACATTCCATAGTACAACATTCAACGTTAGAAAACGCCGGTGACGCTCTCTCCGTGAACTCACGAAGGTTAAGCGCATTCGAAACCTCGCAGGTTCCTGGTTGGGCGATCGTCTAAGAACCGCGGGATCTAACGTCACCGAGCCCTTGGCCGAAGAGATAACAAGCACTGACTGCGACGTGACGAGACTTGACAATGAAAATAACGGGATTTCTCCGAGGCAGACGCTCAACTCCCAAAAGCGGGTTGAGGGACGTGTAGCATTAACAAAAGATGCATCAGTTGTTTTTTAATCAAGGAATTAAACACACAATAATTTCGACAGATGAAAGCTGCTTGTGCTACAAGGAAAATTGAAATATTAATTTAGTCAAATTTAATGCAGTTATTTCTTTTGTGTACTTACTCCCGGGAGCATAACAACTTTTCCCTCATTGAATGCTCTGGGGTGTACTGCAGACATCGAGATTAACTGGATCAGCCTGGTTTTGAGAGACGTATAGTTTCATGACGTTAGTCAGCCGACTCTAAGATCAGGGAAGGGTTTCGGCAGCGAAGCAATGGCTTTCGCGTACGCGGTTGGTCAGCGAGTTCAAGGCACTGCCCCAGCGGGAAGGGGCGAGCGAAAGTGGCGTGCATGAGCAAACTATATAAAAAGCTGCAAATTGGGGGAGTAAACGATTTGGTACTTTATAAAGAGAATTTATTAAATTATAAAAATATTCTAGTGTCAAATTAAATTTAAACACAAAATGTAAAATTTTCAGTACATAATCATTATTCATTTACAAGAACGTAAGAATAATATCACTTTATATCCTCCATGGCGGAGATCTTGGCTGCTTTCAAGTATCTGCAGAATATCGCGAAAGCCGGAATTTTTTGACT